CCTCACCTGTGTGTTGTTCTCCAGACCCTAGAGTGGGAGGGGGCAAGAGCAGTGTTCTGGGCAAAACATCCCTGAGGAAACAGAAGTAGGAGCTACAATGTGGGTAGGTGTTTTAAGGAAGGATCCCCCTTAGCCCTTTTGATGGGTAACTTGTACCTGCTGGCTGACAGGAAGGCCAGGAGATGGGGCAGGTCTGGCATGCAGAGGTGAGAGGATTCCAGAGACACACCTAGGGAAGGGGACCAGGAGGGACAAGTTAGAAAACATGAGGGGTGGCAGCCTCCTCTTCCCTGGGACTCTCTCTTCCCAAGTCCTGAACCCGCAAGAACCTTCAGAACGGGGGAATTTCTACTCCTTGGAGTCTCCATATTTTCCTGTGTCTTTAGGCTTGCATCTCACTTATGCCACCAAATATTCATTCATTGGACATATAAGTATTTATTGAACACCTTTTCATTCCCAGATACTGGGGATGCAGTTGTCAAAAAGCAGACATAATCACTGCCTTCCTATGGCTTACCTTTCAGTAGAGGAAGACAGAAAATAAATGAATAGAAAAATAAAGATAAGTGAAGTATATTATATTGAGTGCTATAAACAAAATAGAGTAATTGAAAATGACTAGGGCTTTCTTAACTCTGGCGGTCAAGGAAGGTTACATTTCCACAGAGGGCTGAAGGATGGAAATAAATCAATCATTCAAAGAAGAGCATTAACTTGGGGTAAACAAATGCAAAGGCCCTGAGGCTAGGACTCATCTAGTGTGCCCAAGGAACAGAGAAGAGTACAGTGTGGCTGGAGCAGAGTGAACGAAGGGCGGCAGATGGAGAGGTGGGTAGGTTGGCTACTGAAACACCTTATAACCCATGATGAGTTTAAATTTTTACTAAGGATATTGCATATCCTTTAAGAGTTTAAAACAGAAATATATAACATCTGATTGACTGAAATACTACTTTGGCTGCTGTGCCCAGATTGGATTGCAGGAAGGAAAGGTAGGCACGGGGATACCAGAGAGCAGGCTACTGAAATTGTCTGAGAAAAAGGTGATGATGGCTCAGACTAGGGTGATGAAGGCAGAGAGGACTGGGAAGAATTGGGAGATATTTTGGAAGTAAAGTTGGCCATTCTTGATGATAAATTTGCTATTGACTACAAACTCGGGGGTAGGCACCTCACCTCCAGGAAGCTTCTGGATCTGGTAGGTGTTGACTTCCCCTGGTGAAGGTCCTGTTCTCAACACCAGGACCTGGCTGGGTTCATGTCCTGTGACCAGAAAACTCTGTGGGGAGGAGAAAAAGGTCAGCATGAAGAGGATTTGTGCAGATGTGTTACTTTTGCCTGCCTGCATCTACTTCCCTTATTTAGGGCTCCACACTCCAAGTTTCCTCTAAAGATCCCCACTCCTTCTCAGTCAGTGTGGGTGGGCTGACTCCCCACAAGTCCTCAGAGTGAGTCCATGATCTGAGCTAGCCAATAGGATGACAGTGCTCTCTGACCACTGTGAGTAGTTCAGAGATGGGCACGTGACCCAAGCTCAGCCAATGGGAATCTTCCACAGGAATTTTGCTGAAGCTCTTTGGAAAGAGGCCCTTTTTCTTTCTTTTTTAAAAAAAATAGTTTATTGATTTTTACAGAGAGGAAGGGAGAGGGAGAGAGAGAGACTAATGTGGGAGTGTAACATTAATCCCCCCACCCACACACACACACACTTGGGGATTAAGCCTGCCACCTGGGCATGTGCCCTGTTCTGGAATCAAACCAGCAGCCTTTCGGTGCATTGGCAACACCCAACCAACTTAGTCACACTGGCCAGGGCAAGAAGCCTTTACAATGGAGTTGCTAATCTGTTGAGGTGTGGTGCTGCGCTAGGGACAGCCATCTCAGACACCATAAGGAGAGCTCCCTCAAGGAGGGAGCTATGGCAGACCCGTTAGTTGTCTTATCCAAATCTATCCCCTATTCCTTGCAGAACCCCAACTTTGTACAGGGCATTAATATGCACAGCCATAGAAGATGAATAATAGTCAGTGGTTTCCATCTCTGGCTGTATAATTCCTAGATGAGCTTTAAACAATATTGCTACTGGGCCCCATCCATATATTCTCAATCAAATGTAAAGGCTATTGCTTTTGCTGAGAAAAGAAACAGATGCAACTGGTGCTTCCTTTCTTCCCTTCTGGCCTGGAACACACACATGTGCTTGGACCCGGAGCAGCCACTGGGCAACTATGGGAAAGTCCAAGAGAACTGCGGACGCTGCCCTTGATGCCACTTAAGATGCTGAACTAGAGCCAGCAGTTGCCTTTCTGGTTATGTTAGAAAGATGAATGCTGTCCTGGCTGGTTAGAGCATCAGTGCACACACCGAAGTGTCGTGGGTTCGATTCCAAGTCAAGGGCGCATACTTAGGTTGTGAGTTAGATCCCCGCTTGGGGCATGTGCGGGAGGCAATCAATCAATGTGTCTCTCTCACATAGATGTTTCTCTTTCTCTCTTTCCCCCATCCCTCCCTTTCACTGTCTCTAAAAATCAATGGAAAAATATCCTCAAGTGAAGATTAATAAAACAAAATAGCAACAACAACAAAAAGAAATAGCCTGGCTGGCATGGCTCAGTGGTTGAGCGTCAACCTATGAACCAGGAGGTCAAGGCACATGCCCGAATTGCAGGCTCAATCCTCAGTGTGGGGTGTCCAGGAGGCAGCCGATCAATGATTTCCCTCTCTCTTCCTCTCTAAAATTAATAAGTATATATTTTTTAAAAAGAAATATAAATGCTTATTTGTTTAAACTACTATAGAATGAGCATTTGTTACTTACAGCCCCAAACATTCAGAATTCCCCACAGTTTAAAGCAAATCAAAGAATTAGGATGAAGAGAACTGTATAAGTTGTCTGATACTCAGGATCCAGGGATTCCTGAAATTCTGGGCTTTTCAGTCATTTGAATCAATAAGTAGCCTTTTTGGCTTGGCCTGTTTGTGTATGTCACTAACAACCAGCAGAGTCCTAACTAATCCAGGGTGTCATGAGAGGGTCAGAAAGGGTCTCCAGCTATGAATACTCACCCCAGGTGGCCACAGCTCCAAAAGGGCTTCTGCAGCCTGGGCGTCCAGCTCTGGGATCTGCCACACTCCCCAGGTCCTCTGCAGTCGAAGAAGTGGCTCTGGGGCCCTGAAAACCCCTAAGCAGGTCTCACCTGCTCCATTCTTCTGTGATGGGACCAGTCTGGGAAGTGCAGGGTCCAGGAGACCAGGGGTCAGAGATGGGCAGTTGGACACTGAGGTGGGATCAAGGGTAGGAAAGGAAAGCCTGGGGGTGAGGGATCAGAGATGGGGTAAGGGGTCCTGTGCGGGGCACCAATTGGATGGAAGGGGTTTCTGAATCCAGGGGCAGGAGATGGAGACCCCAGCCCCAGTAGTACTCACCTCTCCCCATTGGTGGGGCATGCCAAGGCTTGGTCCTCTGGCTGGGCCATCCTCAGGATATAGGAGGCCAGCAAGCCATGGCCTGGCCTCTGGCAGGGAGGAAGATAAGGCTCAAGGCTGCTCTAGTTCAGGGATTATGTTCAAAATATTTACAACCAACAGGGCAGAGACCCTGACCAATTGGAATGGACCTACGGCTCCTTGCTGTGCCAGGTGTGAATTCTTCCACCACTGGATGGCGGTGTGCTCTGGGCGTGCCAGCAGGAAGGGCAGTGTGTCTTGGGGTAGCGGAGAGGGAGAGGACTCAAAATGACAAACATTTACCAAATGATAGGGAAATATTTCAGGTTTTAATATCCAGTGCAGCCGTGTGAATGTGGACCAGTTGAGTAACAAGCCTAGCCAAGACCCAGTGCCTAGTTAGGATCCATGGGACAAAAGTTATACAATTTCCCCTCCTCCAACCTTCCCAGACCACAGAGGGGCCCTCAAATATTGCCCCATTATTTATTTTTTTTATTATCATTAAGGTATTACAAATGTGTCCTCATCCCCCATTATTTTTTTTATGAAAAATTTCAAACATTAAAAAAATAATGGAAAAGCATTAATACAGAACTCCCATATGCCCACTACCTAGATTCTACCATTATTTTAATCTTTGCTTTCTCACATAGACATCTCTATCTGTCCATTGGACCCCAACTCTTAACCAGGTACAGAGTCCTATAGTGGGCATTTTTGAACATTTCCCCTGTAGCACTCCCAGGGGTAGGAAACCTGGGTCCATGTATCCAGGCATCCATGCATCCCACAATACAGGCCCAGAATTAGGTGCCTGTGGCCTGGGGGCAGAATAGGCCTGCTCTCAGGGGGCATCCATCTTCTTGGGGCGGGTAGAGAAGATGGATAATAAACAGCTTAACAAATCAACCAGCCCGCTGACCAGAAGCACACGGTGTTAGGAAGGGGGAACCAGAGCAGGTGCCCTGTCCAGGGAGGAGCAGGCAAGAGGGGTGGGGGGAGGAGGCAGGTGCTCACCTGGGTCCCATGGGAGGGGAGGAGGAGGTGGCTGGTGCTGGGCAGAGCAGGATGGGGAGCTGCTTAATACCAAAGGTGGCACAGGGGGATAACCATGCCAGCTGCTGGGTCCCTGGGGGCCCTACCTGTTCTCCGAGGGGAGGCCTGAAGGAGCAGGAAGTGAAAGTATTTCCTCACAGAGAGGAAGCTGAGCTGGCTGGGTGGGGTGGAGGGGGGAAG